CCGCTGCACTGAGCTATAAAAATTCATGCTACACATATTCTGACACGGAATATCACACATTTGTATGAGCCCCAAAATGGACCGTCATACAGAACACATAACCTTGCCTTATTTTTGACTGCTTCTTCTTACGCTAAACAGGTGCTCATCCGTCGGCGCGGTCGATGCGACTTCAAACACCATTACCGACAGCGTAACTGAGTTGGAGATGATAGCCAGATGGATGCGTTCGGTCGATATGCTATTTAAAGAAAGACTTATCGAGATTCAGGAACGCGCTTTCAGTTCAAAAAGCCGAGTCATCTGTGCTTGTGATTTTGATCACAACTAGCGTCAGGATGCCGGCTCCTATATATCTTCTTTTTGGTTGTCTACAAAATCTGCGCTCATAATAATACCTTATTATAGAATATAATTTTTTGTTATAGATTTTAACTTAGTTTGGTTATTGGAACGCATGATAAAAAATGCACGCAAAATGTTCAATTTTGCAAGTTACACATTCTTCCAAATTTTATATACACATATATACATATATACATATTTACCATTGCAGAATAATTTTCGTCCAACCTGCCGCTACACTGAGATATCAAACTACATACTGCACATATTCTGCCACGAAATATCACACATTTCTATAAGCTGCTACCTAGAAGTCATAAAGGACCCATAACATTTTACAATGAGTGTTGGAAATATTGTACTTCTTATAGGTAGCACTCATGAACGTGCTAATGTTATTGTGCATACATTGACATTTCATGGCCAGAACACAAAAAATAAGACCCTTCCTCAGGTAGAAATTTTGCAAAAAAGTCCTTTCCTGTTTAGTGAGCAGAAAAGAAAATACTCTTGTACGTGTCTCCTATTTAATAGATTAGACCTTATAAGGACATATACTAATGATAGCGAACAAACTGATACGACATAAGCAGCCGTTTTGTATGAAGCACGGATTTGTCAGAAGGCCAAAAAGAAGCTCATTCAATAAAGATGTTCCAGTGTAACGCAAACATTTTAGAATTATTCTGCGCAAACAGTAATATCACAAGTAATATTTTTAAACTTAAAGCATATTTTCAAATTTCGGTGAAAATTTCGTGTGATAGAACCCTTGCTGTAATGTTCCGTTGTCATTTTCGAAAACTGCATGTTAAAAAAGTATTGGCTGCCTTTGTCTTAGGGCACTTTTATCCCACTTGAATGTCCTCACCTTCTTATCACACTTTAATTCAGATGGAATTAGTGGCGGTTCTGGGACGAACCAATTTGCCTCATGTCATCTCTGCCAAAGACACGAACTTCCGCACAAATAGTC